CTCAATCCTCCTGCCTATAGGAGGATTGAGTATCTGGGACCATAGGTGCATGCTATCACACTGGTTTATGGATTGAATGGGGGGGGGTTTAACCACAACATGAATTTTTTTCGCAGTGCTAGGTGTTTGAACTCAGGGTCTATACACCTTGAGCCACCCTACCAGCAACCTTTTTTTTTTTTTTTTGAGAGAGGCTTGTTTAAATAAGGTTTGAAAACTATTTGCCAGGCTGGCAAATAGTTTACAGCAAAGGGAAGAATAGTAGAAGAGATTATAAAAATAGAGGAAGAACAGCAACATAAGTGAACTAGTAAACAGCTAGATTTTTATTTACAAAAGGAAGCCATTGATGGTTTTTTTAAAATGAGAGTAATATGATTTGATTTATATATTATAAATAATACTTTCATGTCTTCAACATTCTTCCTTTCAGACAGAATTTCAAAATATGTATCTTTAGACCAGCAATGAGAAGCCATTTAACTGTATTTGTTATAGAATAATCTTTATTTACATAAAGTATTTTTAGAATCACTTCTAATTTAAGATTTGAATGCTAAATTCTTTCTATAATTTGGGGCTTGAAAGTTTAATGGACTTATACCTCTCCTCAGCTACTTAATGTAGAATCAGCATTCCACTTATACTGACTCTCAAAGAGTAAAGATGGAGAAGGGGGATAAAAATTCATTTATCTTTGAGTTTTAGGATTCCCAAAAATTTGTCCCTAAGATTTGTCCTTCTGGTAGGTAGATAGCCATTGCATTGAGTTAAATAACATTGAGAGGTAGCCATCAATCATAGAAATGAAATTTTTGGGGGCGGGTAACTGGGAGTTTGAACTCAGGGCCTTTTGTTTGCTAGGCAAGTGCCCTACCACTTGAGCCATGCCCTCACCCCTTAAAATGAGATGGTTTTGATTTGATGATTTCTGAATTCTTATCAGAATAATAGGAGAAGAAGGATCACAAGCCTGATGGGAGGGAAATTTCTGACATAAAACTGGATGGGTATAGAGTGACTAAAGATAGAGTGGAAACAGAAAAAAACATAAGAATACTCTCAGAAAGTAGGTAAATGGGGTTAAAAATTCTAATCTTGTGCTCTTTAACTTTATTGGTGATATCAAGATCTTTTAACTTTTTAGAGCCTCAATTTATAAAATGTACTAGCTTAATTTACCTGTTCTGCCAAGGGAATAGTCTTTACAATAACTATGAATATTCAAATGAGGCATGACAACTTTCTAAATTATTTTTCAATAGGAAACAGTAATTCTGGCTTGAAAAGTCTTGGATTGCTGTAGGTCATTTGAGATTTTATCTGTCTGGTTCGACAGGCTCAAACTAGCATACTTCTGCAATCTCTTGCCAATTCTGACACTTTGACATTTGCTATGGGCTCAAAATTGTATTGAGTCCAGTTTCAAAAGAGTATTCTTTCATGATACCACATTATTCTGGTCTTCCTTTTACCTCTCCGTAGTTCCTTTTCAGTCTTTTTGTGAGTCTTCCTCTTCTACAAGGTCCTCAAGCCTCAGGGCTTGAGCCCCTTTCTCTTGTAACATCACAATCCCAATGTAGATGAGCTCATTCAATAAGCTTTGGTTACCACCTAGGAATTGATTTACCTCAAATATTTATCTCCAATTTAGGCCCCTTTTCTGATCATTTGCGTGATTCAAAAATGACTCAAATATCATGTGTCCAAAACTTAGGTAATGTTCTCCTCAAACTGTTTTGCCTTCAGAATTTTCTGAATTACCAAACATAAAGTCAGACAGCAGGGAGTTATGCCTGACATTCTCTTCTTCATTTTCATATGTTAAATCAAACGTTATTCAAAAGCAGTCAATTCCATCTCTTAAATGATGTATCTGTCTACATCTCTCCATCTTCTCTATCACTCCTCAAGTGGAAGTTGTTTTGTTTTTCCTGTTGTCTATGTTACTTTAGTAGACTTCCAACTGCTCTTTTCTTTTTTGAGATGTGATCTTAGTATGTTTCCCTGACTGGCACCAAACTCCTAGTCTCAAGATGCCTCCCTTCTGTCTTAGCCTCCTGAATAATCCCCACGGGGTTCCCGGCATAGGGCCTGCCTCGGTTCCACTCTCTTCTCTTAGACTTGCCCTTGCCCCACACTATCCAATTCACTTGTCACTCCTCAACCATAGCGATTTACTTGGGAAACACCTGTGATCATTACTTCTCTTTTCATTGGCTCAGTCACTATTTACTAAGTAAGTACCTAGGGCGTGCCAGAAAACTATTCTAAGATCTAGGAATCCAACTATACACAAGTAGCCAAGACAATGGCTTCTCACTCTTAGGAAGGTTCTGTATGATCTTTGCTACTAGACCCTGTTCCTTTTGCTCCCAGATTACTACAGTTTAGTCATACTAATTCGCTTTCTCAGAGCTCTACAATAAGTCCATTCCTGGGTTGGCAGAATGGTTCAAGTGGCAGAACGCCTGCCCACCAAGCAGGAGGCTCTGAGTTCAATCAACAGTATCAAAAAAAAAGAAAAGAAAAAGAAAGAAAAGGTCCATTCCTATGCCAATTCTTATATATCTTTCAAATGTTACTTTAAATTTCCCTTCTTTAGAGAACTGACTAAGCTATATCTCTTGGTAGGTGTATCTCCTTTTAGAACTACTCACAATTATGTTTAAAAACTGTGTGCTTGTTTAACATCTGTCTTTCATACAAGTTCTCTTATAAACTCCAAGACAGTGGGGCTTTTTCTTGTTCATCACTCTATTCCCAGTGTCTGGCACGTAGTAGCTCAATTTGTTGGTTGGAATGAATAATATCCCCACTATAATATCCCCACTATATAATATCCCCACTATAAAATATAACCATAATTGTAGTTTGGAGACTTGTAAGTTTCAGAGATCTCTTTTTAAAAACTAACAGATTACACTTAAATTCTATTTGTTTCTAATTTAGGAAAATTTAATAAGTAACTGAATTTGAAAATTTCTTATTTATGGTTGTTTTGGAGAGGAAAATCTCTCAATACAGTATAGATAGAGTAACTTCAGGTAGTTATTCAACAGCAAGCACTTACTATTATGTACTAGGAAGCTATGCTAGGTTCACAAAGAAAAAGTGGAGTTGCTCATTTAAAAAACTGACAGGTTCTTGAAGAGGTATGGAAACTGGAATATTTGAACAATACTTATCAATATTCCTCATCTACTGCCCAGCTCATCCCGTCCTTCCCAACTTCTTATCCTCCTATCCTGTATTATCTTCATCGAATTTTTTTTTGGAATATATCATTTATTATATGGTCTGTTTCCCTCCTTTAGAATACACAGCTCTAGGAAGGCGTGGCTTTATCCCATGTGCCTGGGGCGCTGAGGAGACCTAGAAAAACTTAAAAGATAATAACCATCAATGCATCTCCTCGCTTCGTTCTTAATATATTTATTCCTGTTATGTGCTAGGATCTCTTGACCCATGGTGTCAGTATATTGTATCTTATTGTCAGCTGCTTTTATTTTTCATGTATATTTTGTCACATGTAGAATGCCAACCAAAGGCCACTGCAAGCAGAAAAATGGGAAATGGGACTGACACCTTGTAGTTGCTCAATAAAAGTTGGCTGGACTTAAAAAGGTAGGCTAACTGGACTCTGGGAGAGGTAGAAACGTGAGCTCTTCGCCTAGAAGAGTGAGCTCATCCCGACGGGTCTTTCAAGCAGGTTCAGGCCTTTGAGGGCGTTTGCCAGGTGATAAAGTGGAAAAAGCACAATTGTTATTTCCGCCTTCAGCTACTTCCAGCAGAGTCCGTCCCTCAGGGTAGGAAAGACTTCCGGCGTTTTGCTCTTTTACAGGCTGACTCATGGCCAATCTGCCTCGAGTTGGAGGGGCAGGCTACACAAAACAGAACGTGAATGGGAAACAAGACTTTGGAATTCAATTTCTCTATCTGCTTCTCAGTTTTCTCATTGGGGAATATTTTTCCCTAAGATGCGGAGCACTACTTGGTGGTTGTCTTAGACCCCCCATCTACGTCACAAACGCGGCACAAGCGCCCTTCTCCCGTCGTCCTCCGCGCCTCGCCCCGCCCTTCGCCTTCGCCCGCCCACGTCAAGTGTCGAAATGCTCTCTGGGTGCGTCAACAATCTAGCCGGATCTCTTTGGTTTTTCTTGTTCTCTGTTCCTATTGGTTGTTTCTGTGAGCGTGACTGCTTTGTTGCCTAATGATTGGCTAAAACCAGTAGCGTCATCGGCGGCCAGGTGGGCGGGGGATGAGGGAAAGCTGCGTGAGAGAGACCGGGTTGGGGGAGGGGTTCAGGCCTGTCCTCCCCAGCGGCTGCGGCAGCACCAGCGCCGGCCGCCGCGGCCGCCGCCTCTGGAACGCGGAGGAGGAGGAGCGGCTGGAGGAGTAGGAGGAGGAGGTGGGCCTTGGGAGCGGCATGTCCATCGCTACGACTGGGTGGTGAATGCTAAGGAGAGTCACGGTTGCTGCAGTCTGTGCCACCGGGAGGAAGTTGTGGTGTAAGGCCGGGCGGGAGCTCGCGGCGCTGTGGAAAATCGAAGCGCGGGGTCGGTGCGAAGACCTTACCAGACCTTTTCCTAGTCTGATCATGCCTGGACGAAACAAGGCGAAGTCCACCTGCAGCTGTCCTGACCTGCAGCCCAATGGACAAGATTTGGATGAGAGCGACCGTGTCGCCCGTCTCGGAGCGGAAGAATCTGAGGAGGAGGGTCGGAGGGGGTCTCTTAGTAATGCCGGAGACCCCGAGATCATCAAGTCTCCCAGCGACCCCAAGCAATACCGGTGAGGGAGGACATCCGGCTGCGGGCCTCTTGCGGGTCGCGGTCACTTCTCGACCCCACGTCTCCCGAAGGAGCAACAGGGCACTCTTGTCACCCGAGCGCGTCCTCGGGGTGGGCAGGATGGAGGTGGCGAGGGCAGTTAGGAGCGCCCATGTGGTTGGTGTCAGGCTAGCAAACGGGAATGGCGGGTTCCACAGGCGTCGGGATGTCAGAACGGAGAGAGCCTTTTGAGTAACGTTGGCCGATTGCTTAAACACAGAAACGGGGATGAGGAAGGCTGGCTGGACGGTAAGGGGGTGTGGGTACCGTGTTAGGAGGAAAGGGCTGGGGATCTTAGGTTTTGGAGGAGAGGATATTTGTCAAAGATATTTGACAGCCGGCTTCCCCCTCCCCCAGTGAAAGAGAGGTAAGACTAGTGGGTGGAAGGCACAAGAGAACGGTGTGGCTTCAGTTTTAAAAGAACTTCGCGCCCGAGCTGGCCTGTGATGAACTGGCAGGTGTCCGTTTGTAGTTCCTTATAACTAGGTTGATCAGTGGCTGCTTCCAAAGATACTTTAGAGAGGAGTTGGGCCTAAGTTGGGTGAGTGGTAGACTTGAAAGGCTTCTTTTTTTTTTTTTTCTTTTTTTCTAAAATGCCCTACTTTTGGTTTATGTAGGAATCCTCCGGGTATCTCTTTTAAATGGTGACTCAATCCTCATCTGAATATTTCCTTCAGAGCTAGATTATTTCATAGACTGTTACGACTATGATGTATTTTAGCAGTGCATATTGTCCAACAAGTTCGTTTTACAGGCTGGGGGAATTGAGACACAGAGTTTGCTTTTTTTGCTTGGAATTACACAGCTAAGTTAACGTCAGAGCTGGTATGAACAGCCTGGGCATCTGAAACCAAATCTAGCGCACCATCTGCTGATTTTTGTAAAGTTCCTATTCATGTTGAATTGAAAGCTGAATTGTAGGTCCAAATCTGTTACAACCTGCAGTGTTAGAACAAGAAAAGAGCTTTAGATATAATCTTTTCATTCTGCACCACCCCTGTTTCACAGATGACTGATACTGTGGTTTAGAAAGACATGACATAGCCTAATTTCTCCTTTTACTCCAGGTCTAGAGAGATTGATGCTACCACAACTATGTCATTTTTCCCAGGCTGCCAGGGTAAAGATGTCTGTAAAGGAGCTACATTTTTTTTCTTATTAAAGATGTGGTTGTACTGATAAAAAGTAAATGAGCAAGTTGAAAACTTGATTTAAAAAGTTGCTTAGTTTTTGCCTTCCAGATTAAATTTGCAGTTACAGCTTCATTTTTTTTCTTGTTTTTATAAAGTTACTTAGTATCTAATGTTTATGGAATGTACACAATGTGTTGGATTCTGTTCTAACTGCTTTAGATATATTATCCAATGACCTTATTTTCTGCAACTTGGTAAAATACTTATTAAATATTATTGTGTGCTGACTGAGAAGCTAGCTTAAATCTTTATTGAAACTTTGGTCAAATATTACTCTGTATGACATCCAAAGATGATTAAGACAGTCCCATTCAGGGAGCTTATTGTATAATGAGGGACACAAACACATTTAAGAAAAATAACAAAATTAGGATGCTAATGTTTCATAGAAGCCCAGTATGTGTGCTAGGTAGATTGAGGAATAAAGTAAGAAGTACTTACTTTAGAGAGAGAAGGAAGACTTCAAAAGAGATAATGCTTATATAGGTGCTCTTTGAATGAATTGTTACCTTGGTACCTTCATGTGGCCTTTGTTAGGTCACTTTTGTGGTGTTTCAGCTTTATTTTAAAATGAAGGAGATTGATTACAAGTGTTTTTCAATAACTTCCACCCATTTCAAAAGAGGCTCTCTGTCTACCTTTACCTGTTTTGTAGACTGAAGTTTCAGTTAGATTTTTTGTCTTTTTTTTTTTTGTGGTACTGAGTGTTGAACTCAGGCCCTCGCTGTTACTGGGCAGGTACTGTGTTACTTGAGCCACACCCCCAGCCCTTTTTTGCTTTTAATTTTTGGAATAGGGTCTCATTGTTTTGCCAGGATTGCCTAGACCCGAGTCCTCTTATTTATGCTTTCTAGGTAGCTGGGATCATGACTGGTGTGTGAAACCACACCTAGTTTTTTATTGGTTGAGATGGGGGTCTTGTAAATTTTTGGTTGGGTCTGGCCTGAACCTGGATCCTCCTGGTCTCTACCTCCTGAGTACCTGGGATTACAGGTTTGTCCCACTGCCCTGACCCTCAGTTATACTGTGGAAGAAAATTTGTTACTTGAAAATAAAGATGGAAAAACCTCAGGACTACATGCTCTTTAATTAAAGGTTTATCCAAGTTAAAGTTGAATTCTGTGAATTTTTTGAAACCAGAAACAGTCATATGAAGTAGTCTGCAGCCTAGAGAATTAAATTATCCTTCCAGGACTTGCTCAGCTGTTATCCTTGTGAAGGCTTTCCAGGCAGAACTAATTCCTCCTTCCATTGTATTTTTCATAGAACTTTGTACATGATCCATTATAGCACACAGCCCTCATATTACAATTGTATGTCTTTTGAATGTGTGACTAAGCATCAGAAGAGAACCTGTTTAAAGGCATATTGTGATGAAACAATTCCTTGAAAGATTTACCAGTCCCCGTGTATTAAGTAATAGCCTCAAAATTTTACTTTTCTGTTTTTTTTTTTTTTCCTCTTTTTGGTACTGGGATTTGAACTCAGGGCCTATACCTTGAGCCACTCCACCAGTCCTTTTCTGTGATATTTTTTTTTTTTTTTTTTGTGATAGGGTCTCGATAACTATTTGCCCTGGCTGGCTTCAAACCACAATCCTAATCTTTGCCCCCGAGTAGCTAGGATTGCAGGTGTGAGTCACCAGCGCCTGGCCAAAATTTTACTTTTCTATTCAGGTAATTTATGTTCAGCTTTTTTGAGATGTTGACAATATTTCCAGGACACCTGTTATACTTTTTTTAGGGAACTTTTAAATGCCAGGTTAGGCTGATTCCCTTTTCTTCTGGAAAAAATTAAGGGACTCCAGTTTGTGAACTATTTAAATATTGGTTTAGAGTGGAAATTCTGGATAGACAGGATTAATAGTGATGCATTCTAAATAGTAAGTTATTTTAGCAATGAAGAGTGCTTAATGTTGGGAAATTTGAATTAACTAAAATAAGTATAAAACACTTTCTGTGTTTAATCTGTTTGTAAACACGACCTGTGTTTCTGTGGGTGAAGGGAGAACAACAAATGAAAAGACATGCAAGCTCCTGAAGGGCAAGCCTTTCTAACTTAAATTTTGATTAGATCATTACAAGAGAAGATTATTTTTAATAAATTCTCAATATGCTACAGGAAATAATCATGCTGAATAAGGTGTAGGCTATTTCTGAATGTTATGTTTACTATTACATGCTCTGGGCAGAAGGAGGAGCACAATTCAAGAGAGCAGAACAATTGTGTTGATAACACTAACATAAACTGACTTCCTAAATAGTTTAGTAGTGAGTGGCTCACTTATAAGCAGAAGACTCAGGCAAATCTAAGCTATCAAAAGGCAGCTATGCATCAGAAAACAAGAGAACATTTTATTTTGTATTGGATGGGAAGAACCTGGGCTTCCTTATTGATCTTTTTGATAACTAAGATTTTTTGTGGCAGTACTGGGGCTTGAACTCAGGGTTTCACGCTTGCTAGGCAAATGCTCTTCCACCTGAGCCACTCCGACAGCTGATCTGTTTTAATAAACAGGTATTTGTTTATGATTTCTTTAGTGTGGGCAGGGGGGTTAGTAAGAACAAAAAGAGCTAGATTGTTTCCAGGTTGTTTTGAAATTTGATTAACATTAAAAAGTTACATTTTTGAAGAACTGAATGACATGGTAAGTGCTCTTTTTGCTTTCTAGGAACAGTGGTATCTGCAGTGGTAGATAAGGGGTACAGTAGAGCAACCCCATAAACAATTGAAATTGAAGGGGAATAATCAGGAAACAGAAGGAAGACAAGATGGTAGTAACCTCAAAAAAAAACCAAAACAGTAGGGAATATTTTAAGCAAGGAGTGATCATAGATGATGCTGACAGTAATCCTGATTACTTTGTACTGTCAGGTAACAGAATCTTTTTTTTTTTTTTGCTGTCTGGGGCTTGAACTTAGGGCCTACACCTTGAGCCACTTCATCAGCCCTTTTTTGTGATGGGTTTTTTCGAGATAGGGTCTCTTGGACTATTTGCCTAGGCTGGCTTTGAACTGTGATCCTCCTGATCTCTGCCTCCTGAGTAGCTAGGGTTACGGGTGTAAGTTATTGGTGCCCAGCTGAAAGCAGTTTTTTTTTTTCCCAGTGCTGGGGCTGGAATCCAAGGTCTTGTGCTTGCTTAGCAGGTGCTCTACCATATACCTACATTCCCTAGCCCCAAACAGTTATTTAGAGACCCAAGAAATTCCTTATGAAAGTAATTTCAAAGGAATGGTGTAGAGGTGGAAACCAGGTTATAGTGAGTTAAAGAATGAATGGGAGTTTAAAATTTCAGATTGCGGAGTAATCATTTTCCAAGAAGATTGATTTTTCAAGGGGAAGGGATGTGCATGCCTGTAATACCAAGTGAAGGCAGGAGGATAAAGAGTTGGAGGCCAGCCTCTGTTATGTAGCCATAGACCCTGTCTTAAAAAAAAAAAAAAAAGTGCGAGAGCTTTTAGGACAGATCATCACCTGGAGGTTTTTCAAGCTGGAAGATACATATGTTTATTGCCTGAGCAAAAAAAGTATCAATAGAGTATATACATGGAAGGATTTGGTTTTAAAAGAGAAACATCTTTTCCCTGCAAGTGGAAGAACATGTAATGAAATGCTGACAATGAGCTGGAAGTGAAAGGGTGTCTGCCTCACCCCGCTTCTTTTTTATAAAGTAGGCATTGAGATGTATTTAAGTGGTCCTCTTAAGTGTAGGGGAAATAATGGGATATACAAAGGAAACCTTGGGTGGCCGAAGGTTGAAATAGCTAAT